GGCTCGGAGTGTGGCCCCCTAAGAAAACCACCTGCTTCGGTTTGGGCACCCGAGCAGTATCACAGCCATCACACAAATCAATTGAGATTTGTGTGGCGCATATGTATTTGGTGCCTCCTTGTACCAATACCTATGTGTTAAAATAAATAATAATAAATAATCGAAAAGGATATACATTTATCAGATGTCAATTCCTGAACCGCTAACATCTAACTGGCGACCACTCAATATTTATCGCAAGGGACTGATCAAGAAATACAAAAAAGGGAAAGTTGTTGAAATACTTTGTACTGAGAATTCTATATTGTCCCAAAAATATAATATTGAATAAAGCCACTAATAATAATTATTATTATTATGAGTAAGTTAATTGTGAACAATTTACTTTCAGTTAGCTCAGTATAAACATTGTACGAATTTTTTATGTAGTATGAGAGCTATTATGATTAGTTATAGGCAACTATGAAATAAATTATTCTTTATTTTATAAGCACAACACAATATAATTGAATTGAGATGGTGCTGAAGTCTAGATTCGTGTAGAAATAATTTATGCTTCATGTTTAACTCTCAAGATTTACTTTTTGATAACTAAAATAAGAAGAAAAATAAATAACAATAATTCACTTGATATTGTTTTACTTGAATCTTCATATTGATGTTTAGGACTGAAATTAATCAATCTCTTATTAACATATGTGCATACTGTGCCTTCATTTACAAGCATTGTATGCAAAGAAGAATAGTGGCTAGCAGTGGAATCCAGGACGTGTGTTTCGTCCTATGTGGGACTCGTCAGCTGGATGTACCTGCATTTCAGAGTTGACGTTCACTCTGGAACTCGAACCCAGTACCGTCCGCTTCAAACGCCATCGCGTTATCCACTTAGCTACTGAGTGAACATAAACTCTGAGATGCAGGTACATCCAGCTGACGAGTCCCAAATAGGACGAAACGTGCGTCAAACTGGATTCCACTGCTAGCCACTATCCATCTTTGCTTAGAAATAACAATAGTTTCTATTCTACTAGGGTAAATTTCATTTGTATAACATTATATATATATATATATATATATATATATATATATATATATATATATATATATATATATATATATATATATATATATATGATTTGTTGTATGCATTATGACCTTTTCTTTCAAAATTATTCGATCAGTTTCCGTTTGCTGTCGTTTATCTGACCTTTTTTTATCGTTCGTTCATTCACTTGTTCTTTCCTACTTGTCCCACCCTTATCTTCACTGTATCTCTATTCAACTTATTATTCTCTTTTAATAATATAATCATGTCATAATTGTTATCCTTTTTCCTTTCTTCATTTCTTCTTGTTTCTGTTGTTGGAAGAGCATCCTTTTAGTTACTGATCTACTCCTCACTAGTAAAGTATGCTAAAAACAAATAAGAGTAAGTGTAGAGAAAAATAAAATCTCTTCAAATTTGTGGTATCTTTTTTCGTTCTTTTTTGTTTTCATACTGAAGATTAGATTATTCGATAAAACTGTCATGTATTTTAAGTATAAAATAAAAAACAGATAAATAAACGAGTGAACAACAATGAGAAACCTTGTAAAAATGGAATAAAAACAATTTTACATTGTATTGTACATTGAAGAATGTAACTTGAGTGTTTTGGTTAAGCAAACTTCTCTTAAATAAATTCATTCTCCATATTGCTAAAGATTGGATAATCAACTAAACGGCTCGTTCAATGTTAAGCTCATGATTCATAGGTAATATTACCCATGCAATATACAATTTTTTAGTGTAAGGTATCGGGTAAGATTGCTAGATTTAAAAGTTTGCATTATGAATCATTCAAGTTAAATGTGTAAATTATTGGATGATGGTTCTGTGATCTAAAGGTTAAGCATTCATTCCAAAAATCTGAAGCAGCCAAGGTTACGGTTGTATACTCCAAAAGTTTCATAATATAAGGAACCAGCTACCCAATCCTTCCATTTTTCCAATAGTTGTCTAGCTATCATGTAAATGATAAAAGATCTTTTACATTTCTCGCTCTTATACTTCAATAATCAGTGGTAATAACTAACTGGTAGAATAACTATTTCAGACATTTAATGAAACATTATTTAGTTTATTTTATCGCTTATAATTCTATTTTCTATAATTAGTTCGTTTGTTATACTGCTTAGTAATCTAACTTTGACTTTTTTTCATGTTTCTGTTTACAGAGAAGATATTTTGATGTTTAGAGACAGAATGAAAGAAGAGAAAGAGTATGATGTAATCATCATCACATAAAATACATCTGATTTTTAGACTGGAAATGATCATTATATGAACGTCAATTGAAAATAATTTGTTAATCTAAGCTACAAATTGTAAAAGTAAATTTCTGAACACGTAATAATAATAATAATTTTTAACTGTTCAATCAAACTAATATGTAATAAATAAAATTGGAAATCTTACGATCTCTTGATTGATTTATTTTTCTTGATTAAAAGATCAATTATTAGTACGGGGTTATGAAGATTATTATGTTTTTGATTGAGGTCATGAACCAATTAATGTTAGATCACCATTGAAAATCTGGAAACACTGAACGGCTATTTCATCTTATTGTGGGACTCCTCAGCAGTGCGCATCCACGCGGTGTTCGAACCCTGCAGGCATTCGACAGTGTTAATGTCTAACCTCAACCAATTCATAAAATTGCGCGAACATCTTCCATTGTGCTGAGATAGATACCTGTCTCTACCTGACACGGATTAGCTTCACTGGTCATGATTTCCCACTGGAACTCTGAGAATTTCCTCACGAAGCTAGTCACTAGTGAGCACAAGAATAAGTGAAAATAATATTAATAATAAATTTATTAATGCTATTAACTACCTTTTTAGGTATGGTTCTTACTGTTCATTGTAAAACATTTATAATAATGTAAATCTGTATTGATTAGCTAATTAGAAACATTTATTCTATTAATTTTCGTCTATAAATCGTTGAATAGAAATATTTGATAAATATTATTCATTGGACTTTGGAACTAATGGAAGTGTTTAAATGGTAACCAGACGCTAAGTCATATAAATATTGAATGGATCTAGCACATATCCTTCAGCAATAAATGTTTGGAAGACTAACAATTGTGTTTGTTACAATTATGTAGTTAAATTCATTACTGTCGAACACTATGATAGTCGTAATTCATCCTTTATACAAATAATCATTCCATCTGTAATATTAACAATCCTATAATCCATTTATATATACGTTAAAGTTTGTCCCTAACGATGTAATTGTAGAACAAACAGTCATAATTGTGAATTTCTTATTGTCAGATAAATTATTTCCAATGTAAAACATAGGAAATAAATAGTCTGGATAATTTATGTGTCAGAAATGATAAGAATGGTAACAATAATAACCCAGGTTACTCCTTCACTTTGGCAGAAAAATCCGACTCAAAGCCTATACGTTGAGCTGCTGAGTAGTGAGAGCAACCTTGAAAGCTGATTCAAGAGGTCGGCAAAGATCCACCACTCTTATGCTGAACTTGGATTGCGCGGAGTTCACTCTTCAAGGCTTTAATAGTAGTGACGCGCAGCTCTGTGTGTATGCTTAAGTATATGAATTTCATGATTCACGGCCTGTATAGTTTATTTGTGTAGACATTTGCAGAAGGTACGAGAGCGAATTCGCATAAGGAACGTAAGATGAGAAGATTTCTGCCCTATGTCGAATAAAATCAGCTGTCTAAACCATCATTTCGAAGATACGATAAAAAGACATGGTAGCAAATGCTAGGGAGAGGTGAATACCAGCTCTCCCTGAGAGAATACTTATGCCTGTGCATATGTCATGAAGTGTATGAACGAAGATCTTTGCGACAGTGGTATACATATAATGTGTAAGAAACGATCAACTGTAGCAAATACTTTTGTAGAGAGTGGTAACCATCTTCCCTCCCAGGTGGATGAATATACTTATGTCTATGTATGTATGTATGAGTGAAAACTTGTCTCTTACCGGTGCTCACGTAACGCACCTGTGTGTATGCCAAGGGATTCATGATTGAAAATTTATGTGTTGCTGATATTCATGTTGACTACTCTTGCCCTTGTTACGACATCTGCGCTCCAACGCCTGGGGATGCCGACAATATCCCCTGGAAACCCGTCGACGCAGTAGGTTTGTGAGCGCCGGAAGGCAGATTTTAGTCCGGATAAGCCAATCGGATTTGCCGAGTGAGGCTTTATAAACTTCAAATGGCTGGAACACTACAACGAAATGGAAAGTTCATACGTATTGGTTATTTTGAATCTTTTCATTAATTTTTAGGACTGTAACTGATACATCTTTGCTTAGAAATGGAAAACCGTAACCTATTAGATTCAGATCACCTGTAAACTACTGAAAAGTAATTCAGTAACTTGATAGGTCTAATCAGAATTAAATTCTAGACTACCACTTCATGTCAGTTGGTACTTGCCAGCTAGGTGTTTCTACAATACTGTAACAGCTGATTTTCGCCTTAGCATTCAAAGTAAAGTAATCGAATGTAAAAATCAAAAACATTACTACAAATACATTGTCAAACACATCAAAATTCTCTTTGATTGCCTCCAGTTATTTAATACAATATTAATTAATTTTAGAATTGAACTATCTTATTTCTCCATCATCTGATCTACTTCAAAATTAGAAAAAGTAGGTTCTCAAGTTCTATCTGTATCACCTCAACTCGCTTTATGGGATTTTTAATACCATGCTAAAAAAAACCATATAAATTTGATAAGTTTGGCTTTGTTCCAGTGATTCAGTTAACTATAGTTTAATAAACTAATATATTTTTGTTAGTATTACATGTTTTAGCTCCGATTCACCATGAAAAATTTTAATGGACTTTATTATTGATTCATTAGTCGACACGATTAGTTACAGTGACACATGATAACCGGAGAATATATATATATATATATATATATATATATATATATATATGTCTACGCATTCACATGAACTTTTGTTTAAATAAACACTGATTTCAATCCAGTATTATTTGTAACTTCTGACCACTATAAATAGGCATAACAATAATATAACGAGTAAAGTGGAACTTTAATTAGTTTTATATTTGACCACTAAACATATTAAATAAGTGAAATGAACAACTCTATTTATTTACTACTTACTATCTCTATTGTTTGTGTAAACTGGATAACTCTAAGTGCTAAGCCATTTCACTTAAAAAGTAAAGCTTCTGAAAATGGAAACGAACTTCTTGATATTAATAATGATGATCAATATTCTGACTATGATGAAATAAAACGAATTTTTCAAGAAGGTCCCATTAACGGTCAACAACCTACTAGGACGACATCGTCAATGGCAACGACAACACAGAAACCTACGACTGAATCAGATAAAGAGGAAATTGAAGAATCAGTAGTGGAGGATTTAGATGACCAATCACCATGTAGCGGTGGAGGGGCAATATTTACATATACGATACGCGGTGATGATATAGATGGAGATGGTCATATGGAATCCAATAATAATGATGATATGCTTGTAGATGATTATGATTTCGACCCAGTCTATTCTTGGTATGGAAGAGAGGATGCTTATCACCGACGTCCAAGTAAACCGTATCGTAAACCTTCGCGTAATACATGGTATTCACGATATGACAGTTTCCCTTTCTAAAGTTTTCATAAATACTGAATGCAAAGTAATGATATTACACCAAACATACATTTTTAATCAGTTATAATATTTTTTAATCATGACGTTTATATTGATCAACCTAACACTCAATAAATGACTACTAACAATCAACAGTAGTATGTTTTTATATTTTAACTACTAGTGATTATGATTACTTTGATGTAGAATCTGAGTTCCTATTTTCATAATAAACAAGATTTAAAAATTTAGATACGAACTTCACTTGATCAAATCATTCAGTGGGGGGTCATGAAAGTAAGCATTATCTAAAGCTTTAAAAGTATAAATACAGAATAAGTATACAATGTAATATACACAAACTGTTCAATCAATTTTCCCAGTCATTAGTGTCTTGTTATATTTAAGAACTAAAAATTGTAACATGACATATGGACTAAATTTTCTCACAGAGTTTACTACAAAACTTGATGAACAATTAAAAAAGTTTTGAACATTACATGCTCAGAAAAACCTTAATGTATTTAACATTGTTACAATCATAAGTTTATTTGTGTTCATTAGTAAAACTAACATGAAGTATTAGGCTTTTAGAAGCTCTACTGTAAAGTCAAAACCGGTCAAGTTTGGATATGTCGACAGTGAGAGAGCTGTCACAAATCGCATTAAATGATTTTCACAAAATTTCACAAAGTGACAGAAACTAGGTATATTAAACTACTGGGTGCCATTCACTTAATCAAAAGTGTAGTGTTCGCCAAAAAGTTTTAATTTTGCTAATACACAATTCATAAATTTATAATTAATTTATAATATAAAGCAATATCAAAAAATCGTAGTAAAGAGTTCAGATACCAATAAAGATCGACTAAATATATAAATATATATTACTGAATGCTTTGTAAACTGATGTCAGTTTGTAATAAAAATCTACCTGAACACTAAAGCTAAAACTACATCCATATCTATAAGAACGCTCCACACCTAAAATGTATGGTTCAATAGTTATCCAACATTCAATCCTCATCTTGTTTGTTATAATAAGCCTGGATTATTAAGCATATTTACATGATTTGTAAACTGAATTTATTCGTTTACTTTACCAATAAAGCATCTTAACATTCATACTCCCATCTACTTCTGTTATTGATAGTTTAGATCTATTCTGACCAGTGCTATCTTCATCTAAGATGGATTAAACAGATATGGAACATTGGAGTTCAACGTATTGGAAGTCTAGTATCAGAGATATAAGATTTGAAGTCATTTTGATAACTATCTAAATAAACGGAACCAAACTTGTTTTCATGTATCTTCATCTCGACTACTTTTTTTGACTTGAACTCATTCCTCTCAAAGAATAAGCTATCATTCTTTGTAAAACTACATGACATGTTGACAAAGATAAGTGTTGAAGAACTTTCTCTAAAGTTCCAGTCGGTCACTCAAAGCTAGTTGATTAGTTAGAATGAATTTTTTGGAATTAAACTAGGGAAGAGCCTACTATTGCAATGATGGTTATGAAAACAATTTTACCTTTTTTCTCATCATAAAATATAATCTCACTGTTTATAATATGAGTGTTAAGTTTGACTAATTTATTCTCCTATCACTAATGTTATTCGGTATACTGAATCAAATGAATATGTTCAGTTCTTTGGTGTTTGAAGATGATCCATTAAGTTAATTCATACCTCTTTTAATAATCTTTTATTTCAATGAATTAATGAAGAGCTAAAATATAAAACCACTTGATTTGCTCATTATTTTTCATTCGATTTCATTGAAAGGAAACAATGGATCTAGATTGATGTTCTATTTTATCAATTAGACTATTCTGATCAAAATATAAAGTGTTCAACTCATTTACACTTTATTTTACAGTTAATAAGAAATATTGACAAACGAACAACGTCTTTGTCGAATCTACTTTGACAGTTCTGATTATTTTCAATTAACATTAGGAAATTGTTCTACCTATTATTAGTTCGCTTAACACCTTCGACGTATTTATTATTATTATTAGTGGCTTTATTCAATATCATATTTTTTGGTACAATATAGAATTCTCAGCACAAAGTATTTCAACGACTTTCCCTTTCTGATTTCTTGATCAGTTCCTTGCGATAAATATTGAGTGGTCGCCAGTTAGATGTTGGCGGTTCAGGAATCGACATTTCATAAATGTATATCCATTTCGATGCATATTGCCAGTAACCATGAAGTCTCTGATTGAGCTCTTTTGTAACTTGTACAGCGAAATGCTGTAAACTTTTCACAAACGCGCCTGAATAAGTTATGAGACACTAATAGGCATAATAATGTGTTAAAAGACACAAGAAAACAGATAACTTGTTGAAATATCCAGATGGAAGGAACAGGTATCCCAGATAATCAAGCAGGCCGCCTGATACGTATACTTTCATCGTATAACTAAAGATTACAATCTATATTTCTGAAAATGAGTCATTCATTTCTACAGTTGAAGACACTAAAAGGGAATTGTTAACGTTATATTTTTGATTAAGACCATGAACTGATTGATGTTAAACCACTATTGAAAACCTGAAAGCTCTGGATGGCCGTTTCGTCCTAACATCAATCGGTTCATAATCTTAACCAAAAACTTAAAAATTTCCACAACCCCTAAACTGTTAACGTTATAGTTTGATCATCTATTGAAATGTTTCATGATAAAAAGATATTTCTTAAATGGTAACCAATATCATACAGATTCTAGTTGTTCAACAAAACTTGTCACTTGTGAGATAACTTAGTAGTTATGTTTAAAATCTTATATTTGAATACCAGAAAGGTGACGTGTTTCTTAAATAATGTAAAGCAACTTTTATTGACGTTAAATCTTGCTTCAGCAAATATTAATAATGATGTGTTTTGAACATATAGTATCAAAGATGCTCAGTTCAAATATTGAATAATAATTCTTTACTGATCGTAGAACATTCAGCGTTTATCAGAAGCTGGTTCTTAGAAGTATTTCTCTTGGCACTTAGGATAAATTAACTTTCTAAGCTTATGGTACTAAGGTGGAGCTAGATAATTTTCTGGTTTACGATTAAAAAGAGAAAGAATTGACTGTTGTTCAATCAATAGTGTTTAACATGAATTTTATGGCAGATATCTCCTATCGATAGGTAGTAGATAATGCGTAATGTATGTTTTTTCCATTCAATTATTGTTTATCATGAAAAAGATTAGACAGAAATCCTCAAATCGCTTTTTAAATAAATAAATAGATTATAATCGTTGATAATGAAACTAAGAACGACGATCTCGAGTTATACCAGGATCTAAATGATAAATTGGATAGTTTTGTGTTTAATTCGTCATAAATATTATTTTCATGATGAACTAGGATAATTTGAACTAGATATCTGTTTCGTTACGGTTTAGCAAATACATTTTTTCTCTTTAATTATAAACTTATTAATTGTTTTATTGTTAATGGCCTAAATATTCATCAAAAGATATATAGGGAACTTGTCATTGTGAAAGGATGGCTCAGCATGATAAGATAAAATGTTAGAATCCAAATTAAATGTAATCAGGAGGATTGTAGAAACAGAAATAAACCAATTGGGGGTAGATGATTTAAGAGAAGATGGAAGGGGAAGCAGATGGCTGTAAACAAAGTAGAATATGAAGAAAAAAATATAAGACATTAAGACCATGGTAGAAGAGGAGGTTGTACCATTCTCTTTCGCACACATAATTCTGGTTTTCCCAGATGTATGGCTATTGCTTCGGCAATACAAAGAAGATGCAATATAATTGTCTTTGGAATACTTCTACTTACCTTGTAGATGATTTTGAACGAAGAGTCTGTCTTGATTGAGTGAGCTGTGTTCACAAGGTGTTCGACTATTGAGCTCCTTATTGAGCCGTTTCCTTCTCTTCTTAACCACAACGGATGTCCTTGAATTTTTTTGGATAACGTACTCATCGAACGACCTATATACCTAGCTTCACATGAGCAAGTAAACTGGTGAATGCAGATTGAGTTGGTCAGATGCCATAATTTATCTTTAAGATTACTAGTGCACAATGATCGGCTGGAGAATACTATTCGTAACGTTGCTGCAGAGAATGTTCTTTTTAAAGAATCAGAAATTCTCCTCTTTAAGATATATGCGGCGGTATCACCCTTGAAGTCAATGTTCATGTATAATGTTTTCTTTTCTACTGAAATTATTAGTGTTTTCGGCGGTTTCGGTTTTATGTTCTTATCAATGAATATCGAAGGATACCCGCTTTTGATAAGTATCGCCTTCAAGAGGCCCAATTCTTTATCTATGACTTCGAGACTACAAATTCTTTATAATCGTGCAGCGAGTGATATTATTAGGTTTTTTTTCGACTGATGGGGACCCAGCTGTGGAAACTTGATAGTTGGCCATTCCACATGGGTTTCCTGTAGATAGATATTCTTAGAGTTCCATCTTGTTTTCTTGTCATTTCCACATCAAGAAAGTGAATATTTTGTTTGTTTTCAACTTAAAGTGTGAATTTTATTGCTGGGTGATAATTATCAAATGTCTTTAGAAGATATCATCCACGTGCCGTTTATACAATGGAGGTATTTATAGTCGTTTTAAGTTGGTTGTTTTCTAAACTGATCATGAGGCAGTCTGTTAGTTATGGACCAAGAGGGGATCCCATTACTATACCATCCTTTTGTCTATGAATTACGTTGTTGAATGTAAACTGTACATTGTAAGTGCAACGTAGTATTAGTTCCTTCAATTAAAATTTCCGGTATTCCGATGTTAATCTCATTATTATTCATGTACTTGCCGATAAAACTGATGGTCGCTGTGAGTGGAACATTAGTGAATAATGATTCAGCATCCAGAGATAGCATAATTTTGTCATTTACATTCACTTCTTTTATGTGCTCAATAAATTCAAAAGTATCATGTACGGAGTGTCTACAAATGCGTTTTCTCAGGAGTTCTAGGAGATCTGCCAGCCACTTTACTATAGAGTGGTCAGAGAATCCGGACATCTGAAGAAATGGTCTGAGAGGTTTGTGTGTTTTTGGCAGACCATATAATAGCGGTGTTATTGATCCTGTTGTTTTATGCGCTCAAAGACATGTTCGTCGATTAACTACCTATTTTTCATTCTCCTAAGAACTTAAATCAGTTGCTTTTGTATAATTTCAGTCTTGTTTTTCTCATTGATTGGTTTTGAGAATTTGATGTCATCTGATAATAACTTTGTCATTTT